CAGCAGGAAACAATGAGGATTTTTCGAGGGAATATTAGGATTTTGAGATCATAAAATTTTGAGAAAGTTTATTGAACTTTTCTGCATCCTGTTCTGTCTCTTCAGTTTTGTTCACTCAGAATATTTATCACCCAAGATTGAACCTCCTAAGGTAGCTCTGTAAATAGTCTCATAATACACGGATATTTGAGAGTTTTAGAGACAGGATGGAAAACAAATGAAACTTCAAAGTATGAGGCATAAAAAACTTTTAGAAAACACACACTGTAAAGGTTAAGGAGGGCAGGGCCATATCTGTCTAGTCCCCATTGTGTTCTAATTCCCAGGACAGTGCCTGGTATGTGATGGACGTATATAATACAGTTGTTTATATAATATATATATTATATAAATATAATATATATAATATATTATATAATATATATAATACAGTTTATAGTTTTTATAAACTAAAATTATAATTTGTATTCAAATCAAAAACACAGTAATCATTTTATTCTCTAGCATCATCTGAGATCAGCTGGTATTATATAAAAGTGAATACTTTATAAAGGATTGGTTGATATTTGATAAAATCCAAAAACCAGAGAGATGGACAAATAGTTATATGGATTTGGACACCAAGCTAATCCTCCCCTACCAGAAAATATTTTCTAAATGTTAAGAATCATTCGATTTAAAAATCTGGAAAACAGTCTTCAGGAAATCTGAAAATAATACTTGGTCACAAAATGATTTTATTTGGACACCAAACATTTTATGCTTTTCATTTCTTTTTTTTTAATTATTATTATTGGGGTATAGTTGTTTGACAATGTTGTGTTAGTTTCTACTATATGGCGAAGTGGGGTTCCCTGTGCTATACAGCAGGTTCTTATTAGTTATCTATTTTATACATATTAGTGTATATATGTCAATCCCAATCTCCCAATTCATCCCATCCACCCCCACCCTGATAATTTTCGTTTCTAACTTTCATGCAAATAAAAGAAATGGAGCCAATCTAAAATCTTTATGCTCAGAATTATTTTTTTAAAGTTTTCTAATTGTCATAACATTTAATAGGAAGAGTACAATTTTCAGAAGACCTTTTGGTCTCAGGAGATGGATTGTTTACTTTGGTTCCATAATAATAAAATGTTCTGTGACTGAATCCCAAAGATTGATAACTACCTTATTAAGCAACTTTATGTTCACATGAAGAATAAAAACGTTGGAGAGTCTAGATATTTTCTTTTCAATAAGCTATTCAAGTTTCTGAAAATATTTTCTAAAAGTCACTAGGTGGCTTTTGAAAAGCCAAAGAAGAAAACCCAAAGAAGGAAATAATGAAGCATGAATTTACTTGACATTCATATGGTCATTCAACAATTGAATTTAGATTATTAACATATTCAAGTATTCACATAAGTTCCATCTGTAGGTTCTATTTTCAAAACAATGATTGCTTTAAAAGCTAATTCTTCTAAAGAGCAATCAGCAACATTTTTTTTTATAAGTTCAGAAAAGTGGAATGTCACTTTAAAGATCTGGGGGATACTTGGTTGTGAGTTACGATTCCTTGGTGTTTTAATTAATAAAATTTGAGGGCAGAAAATTGGTTGGACTTTTTACCAAACCTTGCTAGGAGCAAAAAATTGCCAGACTAAAGCAGTATTTCATATGTTTGTTGGATATATAAAATCAGAATTGTTCTTTCAGGTGATTCATTGATAATAACAATGAATACGAAAGGATCTAATTTAGTGAATAAGGCCTTATAATTATTGTTAGGTACCATTCAGTCAGCTCTTGGCTTTCTTTTGGCTTTTCCTATACCTATATCACAGGTGATAACAAGCATTGTCCTAATATCAACTTGAAATCAAAAGTCTCCAAAAAATATATTTGTAATAAAATTATTAGAAGTAAATAACACAGCTCTATTGTTGTATAACTGACACATAAAATCTGCATTAAAATTTGCTTTTGAATGAATTAGAACATATCTAACCAAGTTGTTTTAAAACCAGGTGCCTCATATTTGCTCTCTTAAGCACCTCATGCCGTAGTTACTTCATCAGAAGGAAGAATTGAGTTTTGCGGTCATGGTAGAAGTTGCTGGTAAGCTGGATGTTTTCTCTTTGTAATTAGAAGTATTGTAATTTATGAATTCTGCAGAACAGGAAATTATCTTGTACTGTTTTGTCTAACCTCCAATAAATATTTGAAAGGGCCCTGAAATTGGCTTGAGAAATGCTGGATATTTGAGTACATACATCTTTTTAGTTCCCAGGTGTTCCTGAAAGAGATTTCCCCTGATAATACCTGGTAACTTAAGTAGTTATTACTTGACAGAGACAGCGCATTAGGAACAATGATTGGAATGCTCTATCCCTGGCAAAAATATCCTGAGAGCAGTGGCAGCAGTGAAATTGAGCTCTAGGTTAGATCTTGAATTGTCACTCAAAAAAACTATAACCCAACTTAAAATCCACTACATAAGATGTTTTACTATGTACAGTATCAATTCATGAAGCGTGTCAAGGTGAAAATCTTAAGGATTTTTAAAAGTTTTTAAAAGTTTGTAGCTGGTTAACAATTTTATTTACAT